GGGGGGCAGGTTGCGGGGCCCGGCGGGCAGTGAAGGGGGGCAGGTTACAGGGCGCTCGGCCTCACTCCCCCCCTCTCTGCAGCTTCGCGCAGCAGGTGCAGGAGACGGTGCGGCTGCTGGCCCCACGCTGCAGCGTCACCTTCCTGCAGTCGGAGGACGGCTCGGGGAAAGGCGCTGCGCTCATCGCAGCTGTTGCCTGTCGTGTCGCCCGCCACCAACGGGCCTGAGCCTGCTCTGGCTGGCGCCAGCCCCGGTCCTGCAGCGGGGGGAGGACGGCTGGGTCCAGCCCTGCCCTGCCCACGGGGACTGCGCCAGGCAGCTGGGACGTGGACTCAGCCTGGGCCCTACGCCGAGGCCCCTGTGAGACGGGCTCTCCCTGCCCCGTGCCAGGGCATCGTGCCACCTGAGCTGGCATGCGGGGGGCGAAGCATAAACCAGCTTTTTGCACAACTCAGCGGTGAGGTGTCTCTTGCTGCCAGCGCCGGACACTGGAGGGCCCCGTGTTGGGAGGAGCTCGGGCGCCCTGCAGGCCGTTTGCATCCCCACGCGGCCCCAGGGACCGTCTCCCGTCTGCGGCCAGCGCTGCCCTTCCCCCGAGGCATTGCCCCCAGGCTGCTGGGTGGGCAGGGACTGGAACAGCCCCACGGGGCAGCTTGTGCTGCCCCCCCCCCGTGTCTGGTGCACGGCGCGAGCCCCAGCTAGCAATATAGATCCGATTTATTTACAGGGTGCCCGCTCGCCCCCTCCCCGCGCTGCCGGCTATGTACATAAGGCCAAGTGTAAATACGCGAATGCACTTGAATACAGAATTAAAAACCGGTCTTTACACAACATGGGACAGGGCCTGGCACCGCCCGGCCCCACACGGTTACAGCACGCACGACGCACAATGCCCGCTGCACACACAGCGCCCGGATGGGCCGGGCTGGAGCCAGGCTGCCCATCCCAGCCCCCCCTCAGAGCCCCCGCCCGCAGCCCCCGCCATGGCCTGTTCTTTGGCTCCAAGACGCCCCCAAGGGGGGACTGGCCCACAGCCCCTTGGCATGCGGGGGGGGGGTGTCAGGTGAGTCCTCAAGGGGTCCTGGGGCAGCAAGGGGCACAGCCCCCCGCACTCAGTCAGTGCCCGCACCCAGCCAGCCCCCTGCCCCCTGCGCGGGCAGCAGGGCCAGGAGCCCAGCACAGGCCCCCGGGGGGACAGAGCTGGCACCTTTGGGGCAGACACACCCACGCCGCTGCCCCGGGGCCTGTGCTCCCCCCTCCGCAGGGCCCTGCCCCGCCCTGCGCTGGCCCCTCAGCACTCGGCCTCCGAGACGGCGAAGAGGGCACTGTCCTGTCTGCCCACCTCGGCCACGGCGGCGGCCAGCTGCGCCAGGTTCCCGCTGGGGAAGTGCCGCGCCTCCCACAGGTTCAGGATCATGGCGGTCGGGCTGGCCTTCGAGGCAAAGAAGCTGAGATGGCTGCAGAGGAGAGGGGAGGGGGCGTCAGCTGGGAGCTCCAGCCCACCCGCACCCGGGGCACCCTCTGCCCTCACGGGCTGGTCGACCAGGGGGTCTGGGCAAGAGGCCTGGCGAGGGGACACTCCCTGCCCCCAGTGTCCAGCCCCCAGTGCCCTGCCCCCGGGATCGCTCCCTGCCCCCGGTGTCCTGCCCCCAGGATCGCTCCCTGCCCCCAGTGTCCAGCCCCCGGTGTCCTGCCCCCGGGATCACTCCCTGCCCCGATTCCCTGCCTCTGGGATCGCTCCCTGTGCCTGATGCCCTGGTGGGGGGACGCTGCTTGCCCCCTGGTGCCCTGGCAGGGAGATGCTCCCTGCCCCCAGTGCCCTGGTGCTGGAGATGTTCCCTGCCCCCATACCTGTCCAGGTGGAGTTTCTGGGCCAGCGTTCTCCAGTCAGTCCCACGGGCGCAGGGCGTGTCCAGGCTGCTGATAATCTTCTGGCGGATGAGGAAGGGGATCTTGAAGGCACTGGGGCCCACCAGGGCTGGGCAGCCGGCCTCGCTCTCGGGCACCAGCCAGTCCGAGAAGCTTGTGTCCTAGGGGGTGAGGTTAGGAGTGTGATATAATCTCTCACTGGAAGGTGACAGGGCCAGAAAGAGTTAATTACCTCCCAGACTGACCTGACCCAGGGCCCAGCTTTAGAGACTGGCTAGGAAAATCTGTAAATGAACAGAGCTTTGGAATGCAAGTCTGCATTGTTAGAGATAGAAGGGGAGCTGTGTGCTCAGGGCTTGTGATGTCAGCAAGCAAGTCTTGTCTATTGCTATAGCTTTGATTCAAAGATCAAAAAGGGAATATTAACAGTTCGGAAGACACTTGAGGGAAATAGTATTATTGTCTCTATGTCTCTTTGAAGGTTGTGGTGACCTGGATCTGAACTGTGTAATGGATAAATTACCCTGTGCTAATTGCCAGGATGTTTGGGAGAAGGAGAGTTAGGCCTATTGTTTTCTCAGGCCAAAAGGCTGCTGGAAATGTATAAGAACCTTGGGACACGACCCTGCTTCATCTCAGATCTGCTTTGGGTTTCAAGAGGGGGAAACCTTAAGCCACAAGGATTGAGATCCCCAGTCACTGACTGGAGCCACCCTGAATACAGACATTGGACTATAACCTGTGGGGGGTGGGATAGCTCAGTGGTTTGAGCATTGGCCTGCTAAACCCAGGGTTGGGAGTTCAATCCTTGAGGGGGGCCATTTAGGGATCTGGGGATTGGTCCTGCTTTAAGCAGGGGGTTGGATTAGATACTTCCTGAGATTCTATGATTTCTAAAAGAACTTTTGGCAACTACAAACTCATCTCTGCTATGTATCTGAACCTCAAGAATTGAATTCAAGTCTGTCTGTATATTGATCTTTTAACCGACACCCTATCGCTTTTCTTTTTTTAATAAATTTTAGTTTAGTAAACAAGAATTGGCTCTAGCGTGTATTTTGCATAAGATCTAAGTTATAATTGGACCTGGGTGTGGGGCTGATCCTTTGGGATCAGAAGAACCTTTTCTTTTACATGATGAGATCAGATTTTCAGTAACCCTCATCATATCTGACGTGTGTGTCTGGATGGAGGCCTGGGCTGGGCATTTTAAGGGAACTGCACAATTTGGACTTTTGAGTAACCAGTGCGGTAACACAGAGGCTGTTTGGGGCTGGTTGGTAAATCTAAGCATTGGAATATCCCCCAGCGTTTGGGGTTTGTCTGCCCTGTTCTGGTCGCAGTTCACCCTGATTGCGTGACCTCAGCTGGCTCACACGGGCAGCATCACAACGTGGTGAGCCAGGGAGGGGACCCACAGCCCCGAGTGGCAGGGCCCCAGGCCTGGGGGTGGGGCTGGGCGTTCGGAGGGGCTGGCACCCACCTGCGTTGCTGCAGCCCGGCCCTTGGGGAGCTGCTGCCCTCTAGTCTGCTGTGCCCCGTGCCTGGCAGGGGGAGGCAATCCAGTGCCATGGCGATGGACCGGAATCCCTGACTCCCCAGCCCTCGGGCAGGTGGCTCCAGGGCCTGGCACCCGCCTGCAGTGAGCCCCCCGCCCCCTACTGGCTCCTGGGCCTGCCCCCCTCATGGTTCCCGTTCGTCGGGCAGGTGGCTCCTGGGCCTGGCCCCCTCATGGTTCCCGTTCGTCGGGCAGGTGGCTCCGGGGCCTGGCACATGCCTGCAGTGAGCCCCCCGCCCCCCACTGGCTCCTGGGCCTGGCCCCCTCATGGTTCCTGTTCCTCGGGCAGGTGGCTCCGGGGCCTGGCACATGCCTGCAGTCAGCCCCCCCGATCCCGGCCCGCTCACCTTGGCGATGTTGAAGTTGATGTTGAAGCTCTGCCCGTCGCCCTCCACCTGCCAGACCCAGATCTTGCAGGCCAGCTGGCAGGTGCTGGGGTTGAGGCGCTCCAGCGTGAAGGTGCAGTGCAGGTAGGGCTGCAGCCCACTCCACAGGTGGTAGAAGGGGATCTCCTGCGGCGGAGGGAAGCCGAGGGTCACTCCCGCCCGCCCTGGGGCTGCTGCAGGGCTCTCGGGCTTCAGGGGTGGGGCAGGAATCCCCCCAGCCTCCCCGGAAGCACCAGGGACGGCCCCCACCCCGGCCGAGAGCTGGGGCCCGGGGCAGCAGGAGCTGGGGGCAGGGAAGAGCAGGGCGTCCCTGCCAGCCCCTGGGGCTCGGTGCCGGCTCGGCCGTGGCGCTGCTGCAGGGCTCACCCGTCCTGCTGTGGGCAGAGCTGGGCCTGGCCCTGAGCCCTGGCTGGGGTAGGGTGGGTGCAGCAGGCACGGCTGGCTCTCCTACCTGGTAGCTGGCGAGGAGTTTGCTCTTCCACAGCGAGCTGGGCATGTCGTGGATGGAGAGGCGCAGGTTGTGGTAACTGTCCTTGAAGTGCAGGACGCGGGGGGCTCCGATCAGCTGCCCCCCCAGCTGCTTCTCCAACTGCATCACCTCCTGCCGGGAGATGGGCGCTCAGCCAGGGACCAAGACCCAGCCTGGGCCAGTCCCCACTCAGCACGGGTCCTGGATCCGGCTGTGCCCAGCGGCCTGCGCGGGGGACAGAGCACCCCTCGCCCTCAGGTGCCTCCTCGCTGACCCCCTGCCCTCGGGGTCCCTGGGCAGCCCTGGCCCCAGTGAGAGCGGTGGGCTGAGCAAGGCAGCTCTGGGGGCCTCGTAGCACGGGGGGAGCCCGTTGCCTTTCTCTGCGGGGCTCAGCCCAGCCCTCCCAGGGCCCAGCTGGGCACTGACCAGCACGGCCCTGCTGCCGGAGGGGAGACAGGCACTGGGTCACACGGGAGCTAGAAGAGAGGTCCTGGAGGGCACATCTAGGCTGCTAGGGAAGAGATTAAAGTCCAGGATCTCCCTGGCAGCTATTCTCTGAGATGCTCCCAGTTCCACGCGCAGGGCCAGGGAGACTGGCAGAACTGCAGGGTCTCAATGCATGGATGAAATGATGGTGAAGGGAGGAGGGGTTTAGGGTTATTGGGAAAGGAGGAACCTATACAGGAAGGTTGGGCTCCACCTAAACCAAACAGGTACCAGGTTGCTGGTGTGTAACGCTAAAAGGTGGTAGAGGAGTTTTGAAACTAAGGGCTGGGGGAAAGGCAACGGGTGCGGAGGAGCCCATGGTTCGGACAGAGACATCCCTTGGGGGAGGATCTCTTAACGGGGATTCTCTATGTCCTAGTGAAGGGGAGAGGATCCAAGTTGATAAAGTGCAGGTAGGAACTGAGGAGAAACAGAGTCCAGTGAAAGGTTTCAGAGTGGTAGCCGTGTTAGTCTGTATCAGCAGTTACCTCACATGACGGCACACAACTAAATATTGACAAATATAGAAATGCTAGAAGTGCTGGGTGCACTCGAGTGCTTGGTATTAAATGAGGATATTGATATAGTCGGCATCACAGAAATTGGTGGAATGATGATAATCAATGGGGCACGGTGACACCAGGGTACGAACTGTATAGGAATGACAGAGCAGATCACGCTGTGGGGGATGTGACACTGTATGTGAAAGAAAGCGTCGAGTCAAATATAGTACAAATCTTAAATGAATCAAACTGTACCACAGAATCTCTCGGGATAGAAATTCCATGCTCGAATAATAGGAGTATAGCAGTATGGATGTACTACCGATCGCCTGACCAGGGTGGTGCTGGTGATTGTGAAATGCCCTGGGAGAGTAGAGAGGCTACAAAGACAGAAAATAATAATGGGGGATTTCGACTATCCCTATATTGACTGGGTACATGTCACCTCAGGATGGGATGCAGAGATAACATTTCTACACACGATTAATGACTGGAACCCGCAAGAGAAGAGGCAATTCTTGATTTAGTCCTAAGAGGAGCACAGGTTCTGGTCCAAGAGGTGAATAGAGCTGAACTGTTCAGTAATAGCGACCATGATGTAATTACATTTAACACCCGGGGGGCTGGGGATACCAAAGAAACCCACCCCAGTAGTATTTAACTTCACAAGGGGGAACTAGTGGCTAGTTAAACAGAAATTAAAAGGAACGCAAGAGGGAAATGCCTGCAAGCTGCATGGAGACTATAACAGAGGCTCAAACTACATGCATACCCCAAATAAAAAAACAGTAAGAAGTCCAAAAAAATGTCACCGTGGCAAACAGCAGAGTCTAAGAGGTGGTTAGACGCAAAAAGGCATCCTTTAAACATTGGAAGTCATGTCCTGCTGGGGAAAACAGGAAAGAGCATCAACTCTGGCGAGTCAAGTGTAAAAGTGTAAGTAGGGAGGCCAAAAAAGAATTTGAAGAGCAGCTAGCAAAAAACTAACAGCAACATTTTTAAGTCCCTCAGAAGCAGAAACCCTGGTGAACAAGCCTGGTGAACAATCAAACCAGCACGATCGAGGTGCTGAAGAAGCACTTAAAGAAGACAAGACATTGCGGAGAAAACTAAATGAATTCTTTGCATTGGTTTTCACGGCTGAGGATGTGAGGGAGACTCCCACACCTGAGCCATTCTTTTTAGGTGACAAATCTGAGGAACTGTTCTAGATTGAGGTGTTAATAGAGGAGGTTTTGGAACAAACTGATAAACAGTAATAAGTCACCAGGACCGATGGTATCACCCAAGAGTGCTGAAGGAACTCAAATGTGACATTGCAGAACTACTAACTGTGGCGTGTAACCTATAGCTCAAATCCCCGTGCCCTCCCTGGGGGGCTCCAAGCAAGAACCCACCCCCAGCCTCTGCACCAGATGACTGGAGGGTAGCTAATGTGACACCAATTTTTAAAAAGCCTCCAGAGGTGATCCCAGCAATTATAGGCCAATGAGCCTGACTTCTAATAAAGAACAGAATTATCAGACACAGAGATGAACACTGCAGGGGACAGTATGTTGGGGAAGAGTCAACAGGGCTTTTGTAAAGGGAAATCATACCTCACCAATCTATTAGAATTCGTTTGGGGGGGGGGGGTCAACAAGGGGGATCCAGTGGCTACAATGTACTTGGACTTTTAGAAAGCTTTTGACAAGGTTCCTCACCAAAGGCTCTTGAGCAAAGTAAGCTGTCATGGGATAAGAGGGAAGGTTCTCTCATGGATCAGTAACTGGTTAAAAGATAGGAAACAAAGGGTAGGAATAAATGATCAGTTTTCACAGAGGAGAGAAGTAAATAGTGGGGTCCTCCAAGGATCTGTACTGGGACCAGTGCTGTTCAACAGATTCATGAATGATCTGGAAAAAGGGGTAAACAGGGAGGTAGCAAAATTTGCAGATGATACAAAACTACTCAAGATAGTTAAGTTCAAAGCAGACTGCGAAGAGCTAAAAAGGATCTCACAAAACTGGGGGATGGGGCAACAAAATGGCAGATGAAATTCAGTGTTGATAAATGCAAAGTAAAGCACATTGGAAAGCATAATCCCAATGATACGTATAAAATGACGGGGTCTAAATTAGCTGTTACCACTCAAGAAAGAGACCTTGGGAGTCATTGTGGATAGTTCTCTGAAAACAGCCACTCAATGTGCAGTGGCCGTCAAAAAAGCAAAGAGAATGTCAGGAACTATTAGGAAAGGGATAGATAATAAGACAGAAAATATCATGTTGCCTATATAAATCCATGGTACGCCCACACCTTGAATACTGCGTGCAGACGTGGTCGCCCCATTTCAAAAAAGATACATTAGAACTGGAAAAAGTACAGGGAAGGGAAACAAAAATGATTAGGGGGATGGAACAGCTGCCGTATGAGGAGAGATTAAGAAGACTGGTCCTTTTCAGCTTGGAAAAGAGACGGCTAAGGGGGGATATGGTCGAGGTCTATAAAATCATGACTGATGTAGAGAAAGTGAATAAGGAAGTGTTATTTACTCCTTCTCGTAACACAAGAACCAGGGGTCACCCAAGGAAATTAACAGGCAGCAGGTTTAAGACAAACAAAAGGAAGTATTTCTTCACCCAACGCACAGTCAGTCTGTGGGATTCTTTGCCAGAGGAGGTTGTGAAGGCCAAGACTATAACAGGGTTCAAAAAAGAACTAGATCAGTTCCTGGAGGACAGGTCCATCAGTGGCTATTAGCCAGGCTGGGTAGGGATGCAAACCCACGCTCCAGGTGTCCCTAAGCCTCTGCCGACCAGCAGCCGGGGCTGGATGCCAGGGGACCGATCACTCGCACTTGCCCTGTTCTGTTCACTCCCTCTGGGGCACCTGGCACTGGCCGCTGGCAGCAGACAGGACACTGGGCTGGACGGGCCTTGGGCTGACCCCATGGGGCTGTTCTCATGTAGATGGGACGGGAACTGGCTGGTGGGCCAGGAACATGACTAAGGGACAGAACCCTGCCAGGACTGGAGTAGCAGAGAGTGCCCCCCATGACAGCCCTCCCACCCTGCTCCCTAGAGCACCCCCTGGTGGGAGAGGCTGGGGCTGGAGTGGCTGGGAGTCCCCCCAGTGCCAGAGCTCCCCGCTGCTCTCCATGTGCCCCCCAGGTCTGGCACAGAGTCCAGGCCTCTCTCAGCTGGGCTGGGGGCATCAGCCCCTCTTTGGCGAAGGTGAGTCAGGGCCTGGGAGGCAGGGCAGGGGTCAGGCCAGGGCAGGTTGTGGGGCAGGATGTGGGGCAGGCTGTGGGGCAGGCCGTGGGGCAGTACCTGGAGCACGTCCGGGGTGTCGCGGAGGCAGTACACGTGGACGCTGTACTCCAGGGAGCTGCAGGAGGCAGGGCAGGGGACAGGGCAGGGCAGGGCAGGGCAGGCCATGGGGCAGGCCGTGGGGCAGGTTGTGGGCAGGCCGTGGGGCAGGTTGTGGGCAGGCCATGGGGCAGGCAGTTGGGCAGTACCTGGAGCACGTCCAGGGTGTCGCGGAGGCAGTACACGCGGACGCTGTACTCCAGGGAGCTGCAGGAGGCCGGTGCGAAGAGCAGAAGTTTGAGGCGCTTGGCGGCCGCCATGCTGAGTGACTCCCCCACCAGGGCGAAGCGTCCCAGCTGCTCCATGTAGACGTAGGCGGCCTGGGCCTCCAGCTGGCAGTAATAGAGCCCCGAGGCCGGCTCCTCCCCGACCTGCAGCACGTCCTGCGACAGAGACCCCAGAGCTGGGCACGCGCCCGCCAGGCCCCCGCCTCAGCCCTGCCTGCCACCGAGAGCCGGCTCCGAGCAGGGACCCTGCCCTGGGGGGGCGCCGAGCGGGGACCCTTCCCCTCCCCGTGCCCTGGGGGGGCGCCGAGCGGGGACCCTCCCCCTGCCCCTGCCCTGGGGGGCGCCGAGCGGGGACCCTCCCCCTGCCCCTGCCCTGGGGGGCGCCGAGCAAGGACCCTCCCCCTGCCCCTGCCCTGGGGGGCTCCAAGCAGGGACCCTTTCCTCCCCGTGCCCTGGGGGGCGCCGAGCAAGGACCCTCCCTCTGCCCCTGCCCTGGGGGGCTCCAAGCAGGGACCCCAGGCCTAGCCATTTTCTTTCCCAGGCCATGTCAGGGGAGGGGATGTGCACCCCCTGTGAGTGCCTTTGGGGTCCCCTCGGCACTCCCAATATCAGCCCCCCCTTGTGGGCCCCTGGCCTGGGCACTCACCTCCCAGGTGCCCTCACACGACTGCTTCTTCAGGCGGATGCTCCAGTCGGCAGCGTTGGCCTCCACGCAGTGCCCCAGGGCCAGGATGGCGGGGCGCGTGAGTAGCACCCCCGGGGGCCCGCAGCTGACGATGGGGCTCAGCAGGGTCTGGCAGCCGGCTAGGGGCAACCTCCACAGGGAGAGGAGAGAGGATGAGAGAGGGGTGAGACGGGGGCACTGCCAGGGCACGGAGCTGGCACCAGCTGCAGGGAGCTCCATGTTGGTGGCGCAGGAGCTGGCAGAGCTGCAGGCCCAGGGAGCTCCGTGGCCCGGGGGCTGGCAGGGCTGCAGGCCCGGGGAGCTCCATGGCCCGGGGGCTGGCAGGGCTGCAGGCCTAGCACCTACCTCACGTCCTCCTGCTTGTGCAGCGTCAGGTAGACCTCGTAGATCTTCCCCCGCGGGATGGCGTCGGGCGGGATGAGCAGGCTGATCCCTGCAGCAGGGCAGATGGCGCAGGTCAGCGAGTGCTGCCCTGACCCCAGCACCGCCCACGGGGCCCACCGGCCTTTCTGGCGCCAGCCCTGCCCCGTGCCCCCCCAGGGCTGTGCCAGCCCGTGCAGGAGCGCAGGCCCAGCGTGGCTAGCCCAGATGCCCCGCGGCACCCACTGCCCGGTGGGCAGGGGGAGGGACTCACTCGCTGGCTCGCAGGCCGGGGCCCTAGGGTGCTGACCCACCCCCACGCCAGCCGTACCTGTGTTGGGGATCAGGAGCCGCCCCCCCAGGAAATTGAAGGTGCCGTAGGCCATGTTGGCAGCGCCCCGGGGCAGGGAGCGGAAGCAGCTCTGGGCGGCGAAGCGCGAGACGAAATCCACGCCCTCGGCGGCGGGCGAGCTGTGGTGCAGGGTGTGGCGCCCGGCGCCCAGCGGGTTCAGCAGGTGCCCGTTGCTGAGTTGGAACTTGCTGTGCCCGTCCTGGCGCGAGCACAGGGAGCCCTGGTAGGTCATGGTGGCAGTGCTGAGGTCGGGCTGGATGGTGAGCAGGTGGGACGTCCCTGTGAGCGGGCAGAGGGTGAGCCAGTCACACACATGGTCAGGGGGCTCCCAGGGGGCAGAGAGCCCTGCCCCCAGGGCAGGGAGGTCCCGCCCCTTGCCCAGGCCAGTGGGAAGGGTCCTGGGGCCCGGGCCCGGCTCTGTGCCAGCAGGCTGGCAGGGACGAGCGCTCCAGGACCGCGCTGCCCGATCCCATGGGAGCTGCACCCCGCCCAGCGCTGCCCGCGCCCCCCATGCCGCACGCACCTGCCTTGGCTGGTTTGCTGCTGACGGGCTGGAAGCCGGCGGTGAGGATGGACGAGTCGGCCACGTCGGGGTCCAGGCCCCCCTTCTTGCGGCAGCACACCAGGACCACCACGAGCAGCAGCAGCACCAGGCAGACGGCCACAGCCATGAGCCCCACGTACAGTGCCACGTCCTCGGGGCCAGAGGCGGCTGGGGGGAGAACCGCGCTGAGCCAGGCTTTGCTCTGGCCAGGGCCGCGGGGTCCTGTGCTGCAGCGCCCCCCACAGGAGGGGACGGGCAGGCGCCCAGGGAGGCTGGGGCACGGCAAGAGGGTGTATCCCTGGGCATGTGCCAGATCGGGGCTGAGGCCTTCTGTGGGGCTTAGCCAGGGCCAGGCTCCCCACTGGGCCCCACTCCTGGGACCTGCATTCACAAAGCGTCTCTGTCCCCACGGGAAACGCAGCTGAGGGCATGTGAGTGTTGGCCTGACATAGAATCATAGAACTGGAAGGGGCCGCGAGAGGTCGTCTAGTCCAGTCCCCTGCACTCCTGGCAGGACTACGTATTATCTAGACCATCCCTGACAGGTGTTTGTCCAACCTGCTCTTAAAAATCTCCAATGATGGAGATTCCACAACCTCCCTGGGCAATTTATTCCAGTGCTTAACCACCCTGACAGAAAGTTTTTCCTAATATCCAACCTAAACCTCCCTTGCTGCAATTTAAGCCCATTGCTTCTTGTCCTATCCTCAGAGGTTAAGAAGAACAATTTTTCTCCCTCCTCTTTGTAACAACCTTTTATGTACTTGAAAACTGTTATCATGTCCCTTCTCAGTCTTCTGTTCTCCAGACTAAACAAACCCAGTTTTTTCAATCTTCCCTCATAGGTCATGTTTTCTAGACCTTTAATCATTTTTGTTGCTCTTCTCTGGACTTTCTCCAATTTGTCCACCTCTTTCCTGAAATGTGGCACCCAGAACTGGACACAACACTTCAGTGGAGGCCTAATCAGTGCAGAGTAGAGCAAAAGAATTACTTCTCGAACTCAAATGTGAAATTGCAGGACTACTAACTGTAGTCTGTAACCTATCATTTAAATCAGCTTCTGTACCAAAAGACTGGAGAATAGCTAATGTAACGCCAATTTTTAAAAAGGACTCTAGAGGTGATCCCGGCAATTACAGGCCAGTAAGCCTGACTTCAGTACAGGGCAAACTAGTTGAAACTATAATAAAGAACAAAATTGTCAGACACAGAGATAAACATAATTTGTTGGGGAAGAGTCAACATGGTTTTTGTAAAGGGAAATCATGCCTCACCAATCTACTAGAATTTTTTGAGGGTTTAAACAAGCATGTGGACAAGGGGGATCCAGTGGATATAAGAAGAACAGACTAACACGGCTGCTACTCTGAAACCAGTGTATATATTGTACTTAGATTTTCAGAAAGCCTTTGACAAGGTCCCCCACCAAAGGCTCTTACGCAAAGTAAGCTGCCACGGGATAAGAGGGAAGGTGCTCTCATGGATCAGTAACTGGTTAAAAGATAGGAAACAAAGGGTAGGTATAAATGGTCAGTTTTCAGAATGGAGAGAGGTAAATACAGTAACTCCTCACTTAAAGTCGTCCCGGTTAACGTTGTTTCGTTGCTGGTCAATTAGGGAACATGCTCGTTTAAAGTTGTGTAATGCTCCCTTCTAACGTCATTTGGGAGCCGCCTGCTTTGTCTACTGCTTGCAGGAAGAGCGGCCCGTTGCAGCTAGCTGGTGGGGGCTTGGAACCAGGGTGGACCAGCAGCCCCCCATCAGCTCCCCCCATGAGCTCCCTGCTCCCCTAAGTTCCCTGTGCTGCAGCCACCCAGCAGGCTAGCAATTGCAGCTGTCCCTCGCCCCACTGCCATGTGCTGCTCCTGCCCTCTGCCTTGGAGCTGCTCCCAGAGACTCCTGCTTGCTGTGCAGGGCGGGAGGAGGGGGCTAATGTCAGGGCGTCCCCCTCCCCCCTGCTCCTGCACCCCGCTTACCCATAGAGAGCAGGGAGGGGACACGGACGGAGAGAGACAGAGAGAGCTTGGGGCAGCAGCTGCTGTCTCAACTTCCTGATCCACTTAAAAAGACAATGCACTTAAGAGTGGGTCAGTGTACTTACAGGGGCAGTGTGCATCTCTCTCTCCCACACACAAGGTCTGTGTCTGTCTCTGTCTGCTATACTGTCTCCCCTCCCTCGTGTTCGTGCTGCCTTGTGCGTGAGGCTACATTAACAACAATGTGTTAACCCTTGAGGGCTCAGCGAGTGCTAGTTCCTTGTTTGGCAGTAAGGCATTCCCTGGGAAATATCCCACCCTCCTCCACCCTATGACTTCACCGCCTCAACCAAGCTTCACAATCATCATAGCTGTGAACAGTATTAAATTGTTTGTTTAAAACGTATACTGTGTGTATATCTATATAATATAGGTTTTTGTCTGGTGAAAAAAATTTCCCTGGAACCTAACCCCACCCATTTACATTAATTCTTATGGGGAAATTGGATTCACTTAACATCGTTTCGCTTAAAGTTGCATTTTTCAGGAACCTAACTACAACGTTAACCGAGGAGTTACTGTAGTGGTGTCCCCCAGGGGTCTGTACTGGGGCCAGTCCTATTCAACATATTCATAAATGATCTGGAAAAAGGGGTAAACAGGGTGTGACGGAGCAGGGAGCAGGGCAGATTTGACCTGGGAATGTTGCAGGGGGGTTGCAGTGGGGATGTGGGA